TGCAAATGTCCAACAGCAGACCAGAGGATGTAGACATTTTTGTGGATGTGTTTTTGTTCTTAAATGAATGTTTTAGCCAAAACACAGTGAGTTAATTCTGAATAGTACAATTTATGTTAACTCAAATGACCCTCGTTAGGATTTTTGAGCATGGCATATGTGGCAAGATGTAAATTAGTATGCTCTGTTTCCTGCATTTGTCCATTTTTTATCAACAGTGTTGAAGTCGAAGGGGAATCTGAAGTTGACTTGGCTGGAGTTGCATCATGCATGAGCTCTAATGATCTTCGAAGAAAATCAGTGCATTAAAAATGTAAAACTATTGCCTTAAGCCCCCTTCATGGGTTACTGCTTGTCATGGTGAAGGGGCTTGCATAGTTCAATGAAGCTATGAGTTATGCCATGCAGGGCCACCCAAGACGAACAGGTCATAGCAGAGAGTTCTGACAAAACGTGATCCACTGGAGGAGATGGCAACCTACTCCGGTATCTTTGCCATGAAAATCCCATGGACAGGACCAAAAGGCAAAAAGATATGACGCTGGAAGATGAGCCCCTCAGGTCGGAAGGTGTCCAATATGCTACTGGGGAAGAGCAGCGGGCTAGTACTAGTAGCGCCAGAAAAAGTGAAGCAACTGGGCCAAAGCTGAAAGGAGGCTCAGCTGTTGGATGCATCTGGTGGTGCAAGGAAAGTCCGATGATGTGCAGATCTATTCTTCATAGGAATCTAGAATGTAAGATCCATGAATTCAGGCAAGCCTAGACATGGTCAAACGAGGTGACAAGATTGAACATCAACATCTTGGGAATCAGTGAACTAAAATGAACAGGAAAGGGTTAATTTAATTCAGATGACCACCAGGTATATTACTGTGGGCAAGAATCCCTCAAACAATGGAGTAGCCTTCATAGTCAATAAAAGAGTAGGAAAAGCAATACTGGGATACAATCCCCAAAATGACAATGATCTCAGTTTGAATCCAAGGCAAACCATTCAATACCTCAGTAGTCGCTGGTGCTGAAGAGGATGGAATTGACCAGTTCTATTAAGTCCTACAGCACAGTACAGAATTAACACCAAAAAATGATGTCCTTATTCATCATGGGGGATTGAAATGCTAAAGTAGGAAGCCAAAAGATAAACAGAATAACAGGCAATTTTGGCTTTGGAGTATAAAATGAAGCAGGGCACAGGCTGATAGAATTTTGTCAAGAATACTTGATGGTCATAGCAAACATTCTTTTCCAATCCAAGAGACATCTCTACACATGGACATCATCAGACTGTCAACACAAATCAGAGGGATTATGTGCTTTGCAGCCAAAGATAAGAGTAAAAACAAGACCAGGAGCTGACTGGCTCAGATCATGAACTTCTCGTTGCAAAATGTTGGCTTAAATTGAAGAAAGTAAGAAAAAGCACTAAGCCACTTGGACTTGGGTATGAACTAAATCATGTCCTGATGAATATTCAGTAGAAGTGGCAAATTTAAGGAATTGCATCCAATAGAGTGTCTTAAACGTTAAATGTAGCACCAGAATGTATGTGGTGTTTTTTTTTTTTTAAAAAAAAAATTGTGGTACTATGCAATAAGTTATCAAAATAAAGATCAAATGCATCAGATTGGATTTTTATTGATGAAACTTCTTTGGTAGGATGGATAAATGGAAATATTTTAAAGAGAATAATTAACTTTCAGTAATATTTTGAGGCCAGAGTAGTACTGTAATGCTCATGTATAAAATAGTCAACAGAATGACTTATGAAAGGAATTTTAAATGTTTTAAGCATTCCCTTTACCTAGGACTTGTTTATGCCTTTAAATGAGTTTTGTGTATTTAAATATAAAGAACTGCAGCATTCATAAATCCTACAGAAATCAGGGAGAATTCTTGGGGGATAAAACTTAAAAGTCATCAAAAAGGTTTCACGCTCCAGTCAGTAATCTGCAGTTTAACTGCACTTGTCCAAACAATGAAAAATGCAATTGACAGCCATTTTAAAAATGTAGCTGGAAAATTTTCGGTCACGTCTGATCAACATGCAGTTATATTGAATATAACTTCTGTGTGACATAGTCTTCTGGGCTAATGTGTTAAAAAGAGACCTGTCTTGGGCAGCAAGAAGCTTATATGAGGTTCTAAATATAAATGGTAACAGTTTAAAATTCGGTTCCAAAATAAACCATATTTCCTGTCTAAAAGCAATATAAACATTGCAGCTAAAAGAGAACTGAGCCTCTAAGCAAGTTTGGTTGTGCATTATCTACTGGATATAGCAAATGCCTCTGGAATTGGTATTTGGATCCATAAAGCTTTATTGAATTAGCTTTGTTAAATGAACTGCAAGATAGAATACTGTATCTACAAAGACTGAATCATGAGTAGCAGTACTTTTAGATTCTGAAGATGACTGTCCTGTAAAGAGTGACGGTTGCATTTAAAAGTGGAGGCAGGCAATTTGACCCCATGAAATACTTCATAGGTGTCATAATTTCCTGTAAGGGAAAATGTCAGGGCAGCACTGGCACATCACGCATCTCCAGTGCAGACAATACTATGAAAGCTTTTAGAGTTGTCCACAACTGCCCATAGTCCTTGACACATACCTATACTACAAAGGGCTTTGTGGGTAAGCAGAGGTTGCACAAGGTTCCAGACTGTCCAAAGCAAATACCTGAATCCCATCTGGTGGAGATACGTGTTTATCAGACTTGAGGACTGCCTAGCCAGCATAATACAGTTCTCTGATGTACAACAGTAATGACTACAGCTGTCCCTGAATGACATGAATACACTCCCTTACCTTCAGTGCTGAAGAAGTTGCTCCAGACTTCAACTTCACTTGATATTTTACTGGTTTGCCAGTTCAGTTATCAGAGCAATGAAAAATACAATAGGGGCTTTTTCAGTTCCAGAAACACTTGAACATAATTTGCAACTTTCCATAACTTGTAATTTTCACAAATCTGGTAAAACCGTTTATACTTCTGAATTCCTTAAAGTGGAAGTGGGATCAATTAAAATGTCTACTTGACCCTCACATGAACACCCACTTCAGCTTTGTAATATTGGGGGTAATTGCTGGAAGACTGGAACAAAACACCAGCAATTTTAAAGCACGATTATAGTACTTCTATTTAAGATTATATGTTTCCAGCTAATGGCAGCAGAAAGCCAGCAATTTTCAGCAGGATTGCAAGGAGAAAGGAAGAATAAATACGTATTTCTCTAGTAGTTGCTATACATTCTCCATTACCAGAACTCCACAATCTTGCCTGGAAAGGCCAAACTAACATTTTGATCAACTGGCCAGAAGATTAAGCATCCTAAAGAAGTCTCCAGCTTTGTACTTAAAAGTCAAACTTTGTATTTAAAATCTGTATGGCAGATTTTAGAATGAAATCCAGTTGGTATTATGTTATTGGCTCCTGTTTAAATGATGGATAAGCTATGTACTGTTGGAATCCTTAAACAAAATCTTTGCCTCAATATGCACAAACTTCCCCAATTAATGCTTTCCTAATTTTTCCTAATATTTGGCCTCTACTCTTTAAACTATAAATTTTAAGTATCTTAATTGTATTGGACCTATAATTTTAGATAACAAACCCCATGACCTGTTGGGCCAACCTTTAAGACGGTGGTTAATCTTTTTGCATTTATTTTCACTAAAACATCAGAATGAAAGTTACAAAGAAGAGGAAGCAGTTGCAGTTACCTTCACAACTGCACCTGGTTTAAAGAGTTACAGAAGACCAGCAAACAAAGTGCATGGACTCAGTTACAGTGGTGATGAGAGCATCTTTGGAAGACCTGAAAGACCAGAGTAAGGTTACCCTATATAGAGAAAATTCTATATGGTTACAAGAAGTGGAAAACAACTTGAGGGTACATAATCAAATGTTCATAAGCAGCTGCCCTTTTTAACAGTAATTTGCAGAAGTTTGTGTTCACTGTGCTTCATTACTGCTGTGTTGAAATGCTTGGCTGATTCATAATAATGTGAATCACAGGTAGTCCTCAATTATTTAGTGACTGTTCAAAGTTACAACAGCACAGAAAAAGTGACTTATGACCGCTTTTCACACTTATGGCGGTTGCAGTGTCCCAAGGTCATGTGATCAGCTTTTTCAACCTGACAAGCAAAGTCAGTGGGGAATCCAGATTCATTTAACAACCATGTTACTAACTTAAATGCAATGATTCACTTAACTAGCAAAAAAAGTCAAACAGGGCAAACTCATTTAACCAATCCCAAAGGTGCTTTTTCAAGAGGCAACTGGACTTTTCAGGTTTTATTTGAAGACATTTCATTTCTCATCCAAGAAGCTCCTTGAGCTCATTTAACCAATGTTTCACTTAGCAACAAATTTTGGGCTCAATTGTGGTTGTAAATTGAGGACTACCTGTACTTGAATTGGGATTATAACCTGGTGCCACAAAGGCGGCTGCAATGATCTGAATGCATTCTAAATGATGTGATGTTTCCTTAACTGCTGTGTTGAATTTTTACAATATTTATATGCCACCTATTGTGATTAGGATTTTTATTCACGACCTCAGCAATACAACAAAGCCATTCAGAAATTCATCACCCCTTCCACACCCCCATCCCGGCAAATGAGCCTGTTACAGAAGCAGCTTCAGAAAAAAAAATACCATTCATTCGCACCAGGGAGTGCTCGGTATCTCGGTGCGGGTGTGTGATGGTGGGGAAATCCCGTAACGTTCCCAAACCCTCCAAGTCTCCACCGGGCGCCTGTCAGAAGAGAAAAAAAAAAAAGGACGAACTTCCCACGTAACGTGCTACGCGAGGAATGCATGCAGTCGTGCGCATGCGCTCTCTGGTTGGTCACCGCCTGCTTCCGAGCTCAGCTCCCCAGCAGCAGGCGGGGCGATAACCCTTGTGGAGCGGCTCGGGAGACCCCGGCGTTGGGGCTGCGCCAGCGCGCGCGCCGGCAAGCACCGCCTCCTCCTCCTCCTCCTCGCCTCTCCCCTCCCTGCCTGAGCGGAGTGGAAGGGGGCTGGGGTTGGCTGGTGCCAGCAGCGGCGTGAGCGCTCGAGCGGCCGCCATTTTACGCAGGCTCCTGCACATTCTCCGGACACGCTGAGGGAGCGGAGAAGGGGCAGCTCCTTCACTGCGCCCCCACCACCCCCTCCGGAGCTCTTTCGCTCACCATTCATCACCCCCGCCGCTCGCCCACACAGGTCAGCCGCCGGCGGGGATTGTCAAGCGGAGGGGAGGGAGGGAGTCGGGCATGAAAAAAGGAGAGCCCCCCCCAAATAAAACTCCCGGGAGGAGGAGGAGGGTGCGGGCTGAAACCACCCGTGAGGGAAAGGGTCCCCCGGGGGTAGCCGGCCCTTCGCCCCCCAAAAATAAAAAAAAATTGAAGCGGGGCTTAAAACAAAGAAGGACGGTTTGAGCCAGCGGCCTGTCCAAGTGCAGCGAGTGCCGCCGCCTGCAAGGCATTCTTGACTGCCGGCGGCGGGCTACGCTAGGCCGAAGGCATGGCATGGGAGCGGGACTCCATCCGCGTGCTCGCCTGCCTCTGCCCGTCCTCGGAACATGCTCCCAGCGCCTCATTGTCCGGGCGCCATTCATTGGCCACGAGGCGCCGGTGGGGTGGGGTGGGGAAAGGAAGGAGCAGGGCAGGGACTCCCGGCTATGTGGCGGTGGGGTTAAGGGAGGGGGGAGCTGTCGCCTGCCTCGGGTTCACCTAAAAACGGGTGGGCCCGGCGGAGAAGCTCGCTTGGGAAACAACTCTCCTTGCCCAGGAGTTGGTGGGAAGCGCATGGCGGGGCGGCGGCAGCAGCAGAGGAGCTGTGATTTGTATGCATTGTTCCGGGGTGGGAGGAGGGAAGAAGCCGGACAGATGTCGAGCGCTCATTTTCTTCTCCTTACCTTCTCTCGCTTTTCCCTTCCACCCACCCAACCCCCACCCACAATCCCGCGTGGCGAAATAGGGCTCAGGCTGTTGCAATTCTTCTCCCGGAGGGGAAAAAGGGGGGGGGGTGGAGAGGTGAGAGGGAAAGGCTGCTTTTCCGGGCGGAGGGAAGTCGGTCGCTGGAGGAAGTTGTAAGACATTTGAACGCGCCGAGCACGTGTTTCTCTCAGACTTATGGCGGCAGCCACCGCCGCCACCTCGATTGGGCGCGGATTAAGAGAGCGCTTTGTTCCTTTTGGCCTGACGGCTTAGGGCCTGTCAGAGAGGCGGGAAGGCGACACACTTTGAATGTAGTCGAGGAACGGGCCTCGTGGAGAGGTTAAGTACACAGGGCGGCTAAGGCGAAAGGAGCTAGTGGATGGCTATATAGCGGTGGTGTCTGCCCGTTTCTTCCCCACCTCCGTTTGCTGCTTGTTACTAGTTAGAAAAGCTTCTTCTGAGCTTTCCAGGGCGTGCTTCAGAGGGACGTGAGTCAGAGAGTTTGGCAGTGGTTTCAGGTTATTGCTTTGCGCTATTAGTTCTTTTCATTTGGATTTTTTTTAAAAAAAGTTAAGCTTCCTGATTTCGAAAAGCAGTAGGGAAAACGGGTTAAAACTCTGCAAGCATCTTGGAGGCAGCTGCATATATTGACACCCGAATTGTTTGGCTTGTAAGGTCTCTAGCTTAATTATGCTTATTGCGTTTGAACAGATATCTGGAAACATGGCTTCTGAACATGTTAATGGGAATGGTACTGAAGAGCCCATGGATACTTCTGCTGCAGTTGCCCATTCTGAGCATTTCCAGACATTGCTTGATGCTGGTTTACCACAGAAAGTTGCTGAAAAACTAGATGAAATTTACGTTGCAGGTAAGATGTAAAACTTGCAAATTCACTATTTTCTATTGGACTTTCCTTGCTTTCGGCTAAAATAGCAACTTTTTGTGGTTTCCAAACAAAAAAGTATGGGGACTGCAGTTTTCTTAATGTTTTGGGTGATCAATATTAACATGCAATGTTTCTATTAGTTTAGAGTAGCTTTTGACATTGAGTGAAGGGGTGGTGGTGAGGGCAAGCAGTTGGAATGTAAACCTTTAGGAATAGTTCATACTGGATTATGGTTGTGTGTCTTTGGAGGACTGTGTAGTGAAGTAGTAATTGCATATGTCTCTTTTCTGATTCATTGCTTGGATTCCTGGGTGTAGTGGCTACAGTGTTTTCAGTTATGTCCTGAAGCATAGTTTTGAAGTGCAGTAGAATGGCTGAGAGTTTTTATCTAAATTACTTTTAGAAACAAAAAATATTGTCTAATTACTCAGATGCAATAAGTTTTTCCAGAATTTCTTGTGTTCCAAGTTCCAGTAGGAATAAAATAGAAATTAATGTTTTTGGCATTTTAGTATGTGAAAAATTTCTAACATCACAATTAATAACAAATAGTAATTAAGATGAATTTCTGAATATCATAATAGTTAAGTGAGACATCCTAGAATAAAATATTTCTTTTTCTAGGACTAGGTGCTCACAGTGATTTAGATGAAAGAGCTATTGAAGCTTTAAAGGAATTTAATGAAGAAGGTGCATTGGCAGTGCTTCAACAATTTAAAGACAGTGATCTCTCTCATGTTCAGGTAATGTACCAAGGAAGTATTTCTGTTTAATTTATTTCAGCATATATACAGAAACTGCTTGATCTTTGACAGATCCATTATGAAATTTAATTCACATTCTTTTTCAATCCATCCATATCATTTATTTTTAGAACAAAAGTGCCTTTTTATGTGGCGTCATGAAAACGTATAGACAACGAGAAAAACAAGGGGCCAAAGTGCCAGATACCGGCAAAGGACCAGATGAGGCAAAAATCAAGGTATGTTTGTAAGAAACCTTTTCTTAAGCCCATGTTGCTTTAATTATATGAATACAGTCACAGAGTGTTTTTTCCCCTGAAAATTGATGTCATTCAAAACTAATATTTCCTGCAGTGCTGATTATCAGCTCAGTTTTTATACTTGGGATACATTTTAGTAGCTGTCTCTTGTGCATATCACCACTTAATCTTCCATATAAATCCAGTTTCATACCTGTTAATGGAGGTGCCATTGATAATGTATTTCAGGAACCTAAAATAAGTTAATCGACACTAGGACAGTAGGACAACATCAGCATTTTATACTGATGTTTTTACACTTTACGATGGCGCTATCATTTGAAGGATTGATTTATATCTTGCTTTTGGAGGATATATGTGAATAACTGATATAAAGGACTTAATGAAGTTTTACACTGCTACTTCAATAGTGTAACCTGAGATTTGATGTATAAACCCGCAGTTGTAACTATTTTAACATAAGCTAATAGTACAAGTAGTTCAATACTAAGTTTTCAGTAGTTAATAAACAGGATGAGCCTCACTGATCTTGAATATCTCTAATATATCTCACAAATATTTCATCTGGTTCTAGCAGGAAAAATTACAAAAAATATTGTTATTGTCATGAATAAATCCAGAGTAATATTATAAATGAAATGACGAAATAATTTAACATAACATTTAAACATAATAGGGATCCATTCCTTTGACATTTTAATTTTTGTTTTATTATTTTGGTTCCATTTTCCTTCCTAATTACTGAATTACTAAGTTAATATACTGTTGAGTGAAATTGAAATGTATGTGCTTGCGGGGATGAAGTCTTTAATAGTGTCTAAGGGATGCATGCATCTCTCTATCATCTTATCTGTCTATCCCTTTGAAGGAAAATGAAAAGGGTGTTTCATAACAAGTTGCAGCAACTTCTCTTGCACTACCTATTGCTTCAGTTGTGCCAGAAATCCATGTTGTCTTAACTTCATTTCTCTAAAAGGAGGATTCTGCATCCTTCATCTTTTGATCCATAAATTAAATGTCCCAGAATCTAAAAGACACAGATTTTTCTAATTGAACAAGCATTTGAAATGCAACAAGCAATTGAAGGGTACTGTAAGATGATGCATATGGATGTCTAGCAGTCTTGTTCTGCAGAAAATGACATCTGCAAGAATTATTTCTTCAGATGTTATTACTGCTTCACAATCCAAGTTCTTCTCAGATGTTTTATAAGCAATTGGGGAACTTCGTGTAACAGATTTGACATTAGAAAGATGATAATTTTTTTCCTTTGGCATTGGTTCTAATCCAAGTGGTTTATGTTCTGATATTAGATTTGTTAGATAGACTCACTTAACATATCAGTTGCGTGACCCAATAAAAAAATTAGTTTTAAGGCAGACTTTTAACATAGGTTGGAGAATCTATAGAATAAATAACTATATTGATGGAGTATTTTATTAGTATTCATTAATTGATTGTACTTGGTTTATGACTCTCTTTGAAGGCTCTTTTGGAGAGAACGGGTTATACCCTTGATGTGACAACTGGACAGAGGAAGTATGGTGGTCCTCCACCAGAGTGTGTCTATTCAGGACAACAACCTTCTGTTGGCACTGAGGTAAGAGGTGCAACATATTGGAAGAACATAATATGTTTCTTTGTTTAAATCTCAGTTGTTGAAAAAAATGTGTTTGATTTGTTGTTACAGATATTTGTGGGTAAAATTCCAAGGGACTTATTTGAGGATGAACTTGTTCCATTATTTGAAAAAGCTGGACCTATTTGGGATCTCCGCTTAATGATGGATCCCCTGACAGGTCTAAACAGGGGATATGCTTTTGTCACTTTTTGTAACAAAGAGGCAGCTCAGGAAGCTGTTAAATTGGTAAGTTTTTCATATTTTCTGTGGTAATTTAAAATCAACTATTATGATTCCTAATTGTGTAAAATGTCTTAATCTTCTGCTTATGTTGTAATGTATAGAATGGAATTGATTTTTAAACCTAGTGGCTTTCAGAAATCTGTGTATTGTTACTGAACATATTAAAACTTAAGACTTCCTTTTATCATTTCTATTTGTAATACTCAGCATATGGTATTTTTAACATACAGCTATTTAAAGGCTAGGAATGACAGTTTATTTTTAAAGAGGGCAATATTTATCCCACTCTAGTTTTCAATAATACATGCATCTTACCAACTGTTAGTCCTGAGAAGTAGCTTTCTCAGAAACAAATTCAGTTGGGCTTATTTTAAGTGTTACATTTCTGTATAACTGGTATAGAAACTATGGGAATAAGTTAAAGTTGTGTATTATGTAAAACGGACTGGTATTTTTCTCTAGTGCTGTGACTGATCATTAGTAAATTTAAGCTCAGCCCCAATTTTCTAACAATATAGAAAATATTGGTAAACTTGTTACAGGTCCTACTAAGTGTAATCTTTTCTTCTTGCGTAACTTTAAATAGTGCTGCTGTTTTCTGTTCTTTGTACAGTTTCCTTACAATCCTATTAGTGTTTGAGTATAGTTAGGTGTGAAATAAGATTTATTCTCTATGGTAAAAAAAACATTGACTTTAGTGTTGCCATGGAATTTTCTGGGAAGTGATAGAACTCTATAGAAGCTTGGGTGCTACAGATTTGAATGGTTCTTGCTGCAATATTTGATGTTATATGGGAAACATGGAATTTGAGTATGGGAAAAAGATACTTCTGCTTTATTCAGGGGATTTGTTAGTTCCAACAGAAAAAAGTACTTTGATTAGAGAAAGATCAACAATTGCATTTACTGGAAACCCTTTATAAATGATGAGATTGTGATTAGAAAAGGTAACTTACAGAAAGAAGGAAATTGTGATGTAACTTTGAAGAGAAGGGGCAAATTATACATATCTAAATTACTGTCAGAAAAATTGGGGGCCATTTTATAATCTCTTCTATTTTTCCTCTATTTACTGCTTTTTTTATTTTTTTATAATTTTTACTTTTAAAAACATTCAATCATATTAAAAAACAAAGTATCTAGTAAATTAGAGTGCAGTGGTTCACGTGGTTAGGAACTGGGTTGGGGGTTAGTCCACATTTTAGACCCTAATGCTACTGTGTGGCAGGACAAGGTCCGGCCATTTGCTCTAGCTCCTTCCTTCACAGGGACATGAAAGGACCGAGCCCCTTTGGCATTCCCCCAGGCAATGGTGATATCACTGATTAATCAACTTGGAAGCACCTTAAACAATGCCTCCAACACTCCCCAGTTGAGGAATACTTGTATATTGTTCCTTGTGAATTATGTCCTCGTTAAAGAATCAGAAAGTAATATGGCAGTGACAACGAAAATGAATAGTTTGGGCCTAGGCTTAGTCATGCCACTGAACCTCTGGATTTTACATTGAAAAGTAAAAACTTTGAGCTTTCTGGTAAAAACAATCTTGCAGTTTTCTTGACATCAGTATGGAAGTGATTTGTTACTGTTGTCCCTTGGGATTTTTTCCTATGTGGGATTTTTCTAGTTGTTTTCCATCTAAGCAGAAACCAGGCCTTGCCTTGCTTTATTTAAAAACTAGTAAGACAATTCTACCTGAACTAAGCAAGAATTAATATTAATCACAATCACATTATGTGTCATTGGTTCAAGTGAGTTTATGAAGTCTGGCTCTAACCTTAGATTAATCCTCTTCTATTGACAGTAGAAATGAATTGTTTAGTTACTAAAGCTTAAAAAATATTAAGTATCCATCCATCCAAAGCAGATAACACATCTAATAGTTCTACCTCTTATTTTTCTTCACAACAGGAGCCTTGTCATGTAGGTTGGCTGAGAGAGATTGGCCCAAAGTTGTTCATCTGGCTTTCATGGCTAAGTGAGGCCTAGAACTCAGTTTTTGGTTTCTAGGCAAGAACTTAACTATACCAAACTGGCTCTTTTTCATTCATTCTTGTTAATTCACACTCAGAAGAATTTTAATTTAGGTGAAATGTAGCTTGAATAGGTTGGAACCCTGCTGCAACATAAGCTAATGTTTGGTCTGTTATTGCTAAGTGTCATATTTATTGGAAGTCATGGGCAGGTTAACTGTTCAGATCCCACTTGTTCCAGCAGATGTTTGGCCGCTATTAGATTGTATCAGATTTTTCATGTTCTGAGGTCAAGCTTGCCCTACATTTTTTCCATGTATCTGCTTATTAGAAATGAATTTTGGAAATTTTTTGTTTGACCTATATTAATTATAGATTGCACATATAGTTTGTAGCCTGGAGTTTATTCTGTGCTAGAGTTATTAGTCTTTACAGTTCCTTACAATTCTTTGTTGTTACTGTTCTTAGTACCTTCATTCTTAAATATAGCAAAGGGTCCACTGATGGCCTTTACAATTGAGAACAAATTTTCATGTAAGAAAAAGAGTTGGACAACATTCTAGAGACTTAAGCATATGAGCCAAACTCATCAACTATACTTGGTTGAAAGAGTAATCCAGTAAGAGTAATTTATTATATAACTTTCTTTTAGTATAACAATCATGAAATTCGTTCTGGGAAACACATTGGAGTATGTATCTCTGTGGCCAATAATAGGCTCTTTGTTGGATCTATCCCTAAGAGTAAAACTAAGGAGCAAATTGTAGAAGAATTTAGCAAAGTAACAGGTAAGTTGCTAACTTCTAATAATTTAATTGTTATTAATGTGATCTGTGATGAACTTTATCACCATCTTTCGGCTGATGTTGGATGATGATGACTTTTGTAAACTGAGATCATAAGGGATAGAGTTGAAAGAAAGATATGGGAATTGTTTAAGAAGCTGACGTTTGAGAGACCATTCCAGATCTATTTCAGCATTTGCATTGCATGCTCTGGCAATGGAGTTGGTTGGCTATTGGAACAGCCACCATTTTAGAGGGGACATTTTGTTCTTGTCATATAAGCTGTAAAGCATTTAGAACACGGGTGTCTAACCTTTTGGCTTGCCTGGGCCGCATTGAGTAAAGAAGAAATTTCTTGAACCGCATATAAAATATGTAACATAGTTAATGTAGATAAATCAGATATGTTAAAGATCTTATGGAACTGCATGTAGCCTATGGGCTGTGGTTTGGACATACCTGATATAGAAAATGAAAATTTCATGACATCACAGTAACTTGTTTTCAGTGGTCTTGTATACCAGCTTGGCATAGTGTGACAAATATTTATTGAACTGTTTTACTGGCCTCCATGTCCAAAACCCATGTAAGTGCTTTGCATCTTTTGTCCTTTGAAATAGGAGCTGATTCTCTTTGTTAAACAATAGTTTAGATGGGAATTTCAGTTTCTTCATAGTTTTGCATGTATTTTTTGCAGAGGGGAGCTTAATTATATGTATAAAAGATAAATATAGGTGCCAATACTGTGAACCACAACACTGGGCACATTACAAAACAAAAACATTTTAAAAGGCACAAGCACAAAAAACTCCTGTTATCTTAGAGCAATACCCTTACATATCTTCATATGGCAGCAAACATATGGGACAAATATAAAAGGGAAATGGTTAAAACTAATATTTTTTATTTTTAATAAATGTTATACTCTACTTATAACTAATGGTTCCGTTAAATGTATATAACGCTTCAATTTCAGAGGGTCTCACAGATGTAATATTGTATCACCAACCTGATGACAAAAAAAAGAACAGAGGCTTTTGTTTCCTTGAATATGAGGATCACAAAACAGCAGCTCAAGCCAGGCGTAGGTTAATGAGTGGAAAAGTGAAAGTTTGGGGTAATGTTGTTACAGTTGAATGGGCTGACCCCATAGAAGATCCAGATCCTGAAGTGATGGCAAAGGTAAACATTTATGGAAGCAGTGAAAATAGCATGCATTTGTTTCTGCTCTTTTGTGAACGTTGTGACTGTTCATGTATATCATAAGGACATAGATTCTGTTCTGTAAAATAGCATGTTTAACATTTACTGCCCTTGCTATGAATGGGATGTTTTACACAAAATAATTCATACACATATAATTGTTTTCATAGAAGTTTCCAGTAGCTATTGGTTACTCCTGTGACACTGTTTCATATTTTATTTTTGATATTTAACAGGTCAAAAACATTTTCAACCTCGGAATATGAAATATTCCCTAAGCCCTTTTCTTATTCAATCTCATAGTACCTTGATTAATAGATAAAACAGTGTTCACTAGATTTCTTTATTTTTCCTACAGGGGTTAAAGTGTGACCCTACCAAAAGGTGTAAGCACATTTTTTAATATGGGGGATCCCTTGTCAACCTTCCACCATTCCCGTTTTTGCTATGGCAGTGAAGTCTTTTTACAGCATAGTATTCAGTATTGTCACTTTATACATCTCATTATTTTCTTAAATTTCTGTTTTTTTGTTATATTCCCAATGTGATCTGGTTTTTTTTATTGCCTCCCTTGATTTTTCTGAGCAAACTTTACAGTGAACCAAAACTACAGGGATTCCTCACAGGTTCAAAGTCAACATTAGCAATAATGAGTTTTTCAGGAAACCTAGTTAATTTGCATGGAAATGATATAGTTGAATCCTGGGCTCGCCTTTTATTTGTCAAAAGGCTCTTCTTCATTATAGTGTTTGACTAAGTGGAAAGATCTGTTATCCTCCTGGATGTGTTATTTCCTTCTAAAACTTTGTACCACCTCCAATATTTTCTTCAAAAGTCCTTTGACTCTGTGGGATGACTTTTAGAAGGAGCAAATACTTCTTGCTCCTTATAGAGTCATGTTTACATCCAAATTGTTGAGACTAACAATGTTGATAGATTTGGGATACAAAAAGGAATTTTGTATTTTAAGAGTTCATTAGTTAGACATACCTTGAAATTTGCTTCAATCCTGAGTGGAGATAAGTTATTAGTGAACAAATGTTTTTTTGCTTGGGCATGCATCAGACTAGACTGGTGAGCTGAATAGTCATAACTGGCATAGATTCAGAGAGTGACTTAAACTTCTGTATGGTCTCAGTGGGAAACTATTTTGTTTAGCCTTAATATCCTCATTTATCTAAATGATAAATTCTACATCTATGGCTGGTGGGGCTTTTGTTAATTACTGATGTTAAGTTCCACTTTTATTTCAGGAACAAATACCTGATCAGTTTGGGACTTTCTGCTAAAGCAAATAATATATTCACATCTCTGTTGTAGCAGTTAAACCTTAGCTCCATAAATAAATTGATAATATAAAAATAATTTATTAAATATGTATGCTGCCCAACTCCTTTCTCTGGGTAGCTCATAACAAACTGGACAGAGAAAGGGGAAAAGTTAAAGGAATCCCTGTGGATTTTACCCTGCTAGTCATTGCTGACTATAGCAATAGGGGGCAGTGTTCATCTCCGTTTCAAGACCATTGAGTCCGAAGACATTTCTATATCAAGACGCCAGCATGACATCGCGGAGCACTGTTACCTTTCCAGCATAGTAATGCCTATTTATTTACATGGTTTCACACTGCTAGGTAGGCAGGAGCTGGAGCAAAGATAGGCACTCACCCCATTGTGTGGCGCCTGGGTCTCAAACCTGGGCTGCTGGCTTTCTAGCTAACAAGCCCAATGTCTTAACTCCCCCCCAAAAAAACAAGAAAAGGAGGAAAAATATTTCTCTTGTCAAGGGTCTAGGCAAAAAAAAGCATTACTGAAAACTAATGTGACTTGGAGGAGAGGTGCTGCAACAGAGGGCCAGGTGTGAGTACCATTTGTTCAGCATTATCATAACTTTGAACAGAAAACTATGTGTACTGTAAACCCTCAGAGACCATCAGAAATCCTGCAAATAATTTGATCCATGCCATGTAGGGCTTTAAAGGTGATAGCAAGTAGCTTGAATTGAATGCACTGAAGCCAATATAGCTCACACAGTAATGGTGTTACACAGGAATATTGCAGTGTGCCCAGAACTACATAAATTACCACATTCTGGCCAGTTGAAGCTTCTGAACGCTCTTCAAGAATAGCCCTCATAGTGCATTGCCATAGTCCAGCTAAGAAAATTATTTGTTAATTAAGACACTTTTGGTTTGTGTCCAGTTATGACTTACCCAAATCACAATTTTTGAAGAAAAAAAAAGTAGATCTAATGCATATGCTTGTTTTATTGTTTGCAATAATATACTGGTCATGCTAAGCTAACACAATGCTTTGTTTTAGGTAAAAGTGTTATTTGTACGGAATCTTTCAAATTCAGTCACAGAAGAAATACTAGAAAAGGCTTTTAGTCAATTTGGAAAACTGGAGAGGGTGAAAAAGCTAAAAGATTATGCTTTTATTCATTTTGATGAGCGTGATGGTGCTGTAAAGGTATGTTTTATTTCCAGTTTCATTTATTTAGTAGATTTAGATTTAGTGAATTCAAAGTGGTATACATTTCCTGATTTTCCCACTGTAACTATGTAAGTAGGTTCAGCCTGAGAGGCGCGACTAGCCCATAGTTCCCCACCTACCTTTCATGTGTAAGGCAGAACTAGCATTTGTGGTCTCCTGATATCTAAGTCTTAACGTCTTAACTACTACATAAAATTAGCTCTCAGGTATTTATCACATTGCTACTCTGCTGCAATCATGAATAGACTTTTAGTGGCAATTTCTTCAGAAATCTGTCATAAACTTACAATTTTACAATTGCTACAATTTTATGTTGTCAGGTTTTGGGTTCTGTTTATTATTAAGAAATAAGGGTAGGTTTAATTATCCTCTAGATAGTGTGCCAATTTACAGCCATTAGTTCTCATTGTCCTCATGAAGAATTGTTGAGAATGAGCTAACAAGACCAACTGTTGCCAGGACAGTAAATAAGTAAACTCAAGTAAATTATGCTAAGTAAATCAGTTTGCTTCAGATTTTATGCTAATGTCAAATTCTGTTAAAAATATGATTTAAAGTGTGAAGTGGGTACTATGACTTTCGTTAGTACTCATTCCAAAATATACTGAAATTCTGCTCTTAAACTTCCTTCTTGGTTTTCATGGTTACAGAGAATATTTCTAACTCTTACACATTGAAAAATTAAAAAATAGACTAATATGGCCTTTAGTGAGAGAGGCAATGATCTTGTGTATTCTACATAGTACTATTGGTATTTTTCCTACTGTACTTATAGTTGGTGTGCTGTATTTGTAAGACTGCTTTGTTAAGAATGATTACAAATTATATTCTTCATAGGCTATGGAAGGAATGAATGGCAAAGATTTAGAAGGAGAAAATATAGAAATTGTGTTTGCAAAGCCACCAGATCAGAAAAGGAAAGAACGGAAAGCACAGAGACAAGCTGCCAAAAATCAAATGTAAGTAATGAAAAGCATGATTTTAATGCATTTAACACTACCTTATATGTTGAATTCTTGTGGTAAAGCATAATGTACCTGTTAATGGTTATATTGTATTGTGACAGAAAAAAACTATGTATATTTGAATTCTATTATGATAGTTGTCAGTATATCACCTTTTTAATCCATGCTTTTCCTATGATATAAGTGCCGATCTTTTGATCTATTGATAGTAGAGAGAGAATAACTATGTTAACAGAGTAATACCTATTGATAAAACTAGAATTCCATTCTCTACGAGGATTATCTTAGTTAGATGTAATCAAGTGAAAATTCTTTCTCCTCCCCAAAAGAAATAATATAGAAATGGATGAGCAGTAATTGACATATTGGTCATGAGAAACTTTCTAAATCATAGTAAGTAATATTCCTCTTAAGTCAAACTTACACAAAATATTAAAGAACATTTCTCTTAGCTAGTTGAATAAAACCGAAAGAGTAGAGGAATGTTTATTCTGATCAGTGCATTTCTGGTTAGAAAGATCAGCTTTAGCTATGTGAAACTATTTGTGGGCAGCTTGTATTTTTTAAAATATAGGCTGCCATGCCTATATATATATATATATTTGTGATAGCGTAAGCTGCAACTCTGTCAAGGGATGTGGTTATTAGTCTTTCAGAGACAGTAGTAGATTGATATTTATTTGCCACACATCTCATAGCAAATGCCTCTGGGCAGTTTCCATTATTAAAACCACAGTATACTGCAAATGTACAGGTAATCCCCGTTTACCGAATGTCTAGTTAAGTGACTGTTCAAAAGTTATACCAGCACTGAAAAAGTAGATTCATGACTGGTTCTCAAACTTGCAGCCAATGCAGTTATTACATGATTGGGATTGGGATATTTTGCAGCCAGTATGCATTTATGAAGGTTACCGCATCCCACATAATCATAATTTATGACCTGGTTGTCAATGGGTGAACCAGATTTACTTAACTACTGTGTGATTCAGCCAATTTCTGACAAAAAAATTCAATGGGGAAGCAGGCAGCAAGTCACAAGTCAAGGTCATGCGTAGTTGTAACTTGTAAATATGTTAGAACCATAAAGATAATAGCAAGCCAAAATGTATATAGGGCTTGTAAAATGAAAAATGTTCTGACTTTCATGGGTTATATCCCATGGAACTCAGTTTTGGAAGTGTTCGAATAATCTTAACATGAACTTATTTAGTGTATGAATCAGATTTGTATTTTTAATAATTAAAAAACACTTGGCCTGCCTTTTTCATCAGCTCTTCCCAGACTGCTTCCTACAAGCAAAATCAGTGGGGAAGCCAGATAGTCATGCAGTTATCAGTAAAGCCAAGCTCAGGTCCTCAGGTTTGGGGACACAGTTAAATTTTGAACATTTATGAAAGGCCAACAGGGTTAGGGCCATTATAATCTCTGAGGGAAGACTAGGGGCAACCACAGACTAGGGGCAATTGTGGAAAAGCCTTGTCTTTTAGTCTCTGCCAGCTTGACACTCTTTGTGGCTGAGATCTGCAGTATGCCTAACCTGTTAGATTGAATTGAATGGGAAGAGACTTGGAAAAAGATTATTGTAAGTTAAGGACTACCTGCATTTTAGCTTTTCTGACAGTCTATTTTGACAACCTGGCCTGGTGCTAGGAGGGGGTATATGGGTGGCAGGTGCACCTGCACACAGCTCCATTGGTGCAAGCAGTGGGCACTTGGCTCGTGTGCCCCATTCCTTAGAGTGGAGGGCGCTTCTTATGCTCATGCGTGAAACTGAATTTGCGCAAAAGGCACTACCACTCATGCAAATGGAGCTTTGTGCACACGTAGTTGCTCACCGCTCACACAAGTGGAGTTTCACATATTTGCACATTGGTCACACGGCAGGGTTTCAGATAGGCAGTGGGCTATGGCCCGGGGATTGGGGACTCCCTCTTCTAATGCTTGGCAGTCCTGGAATATTTGTTATTAACGAAGATTAGGAAAGTGCCTATTCTTGACATATTAGTAAAAAGAGGTATATGATTTTGTTAATATTAATCTGCACTTTTTAAAATGGTAAAATAGTTGAATTAGTAAAATTTATGAAAATTGCTTGGCATTAACAGCCTTTTGAATCAATCAATGTTGTAATAAATATTTTGGAATATAATAGTATAGCCAACTGTGCTCCAGATAGACCTCGTTTAGTGACCACAATTGGAATCTGAAACTTGGTCATTAATCAAAACAATCGCTAAATGAAACTGCAACTGCTTCTGAACTTTGAATTTATGACCTGTGAGGGCTATGTATGGAAGGATTGGTAATAAAGCTACGTTTTCCTCACTGTCACAACTGCAAATGATCACTACAAATGAAACAAGACAGTTCACTAAATGAAGACTACCAGTACTATTGTTTGAATAAAGTTTTTTTAAAGTATAAAACAATGTGGATGACATAATATGTTATTTTAAGTGCATGGGGCAACATTAAAATTTTGCATTTTTAAAAATATTTGTTACCAGGTATGATGATTATTACTACTATGGCCCTCCTCATATGCCCCCACCAACAAGAGGTAGAGGTCGAGGAGGAAGAGGTGGCTATGGATATCCTCCTGACTACTACGGATATGAAGATTATTATGATTATTATGGCTATGACTACCATAACTATCGTGGTGGATATGAAGATCCTTACTATGGTTATGAAGATTTTCAAGTTGGAGCTAGAGGAAGGGGTGGTAGAGGAGCAAGGGGTGCTGCTCTTTCCAGAGGTCGCGGGGCTGCTCCTCCCCGTGGCAGATCCGGTTATGCACAAAGAGGTGGTCCTGGATCAGCAAGAGGTGTTCGTGGTGCGCGAGGAGGTCCCCAGCAACAAAGAGGCCGCGGGGTACGTGGTGCAAGGGGTG